GGGAAAGAAATTCGCCATGACCCTGTCGTCACCCCCGGCGGCCTCGATCCCGGTCGTGTAGACCTGGAGAAACTCGGCGGGGTTGACGCTCCCGTCATATTTTTCGGCGATGGTGGGCCGGAACCTTGGGGGCCAACGGACGTTCCGAAGGCTCGTCACAAAGGCTCTACAGCCGACACCACCAACCGGGGGCACGGAGGGCTGATCCCCGCGTCCGTGTTGATGTGACACTCCGGACGAGGAGGCGCCCTCCGTTGCGTGGGCAGCACGTCGGCCATTACGCCGGCGCTCGATACTGATGCGGGCATCCGGCCCCCCACGCAGATCTTTCTGGGTCGGAAGCACTGACGAAGGAGTGGCGGCCGAATGGCGAGCAACAGCCGCCGCTCGCCGCGCCCTCCGCCTTGACGATACGGAGCCGGTGGTAGCAGCGTCAGAGGTCTTGGTGGCGGAGGACCGCCCACCAGCACCTAGGCGCTGCCGTGCCGTCATGACCAAGTTGGCCACGTCGTCCAGCCAACGTTGGGCTGGAGACTCCGGGTCAGGGACAATGGGCGGGTGACGTAGGAGCGCGCCCGCAGCTTGGAGCGCGCCCTGGGGCGTGCTGCCGTCGCCGTAGACGAGGAGGCGACGCTCCCCATCTCGCCGCCCTTCCCCATCACCCGTGGATGTCGAAGTCGCGGATCCTTCGACCCTCTCGAGCGCCTCCTCCCGCCTAGGACTTTGGCGTGGAGGGGGCGGTGGAGTACGAGCTCGACGGCGTGGGTTTGGCTCCCCGTCGTCACCGCTAACACTCGGAGAGAGGTTGTGCGCCTTTGCTTGTTCAGCCATTGGGCTGAACAGGAAAAGCTTGGCGCACACGAAAGAGTGCGAGAGCTTAGAAGAACACACGCAGAACCCCCTACCTGGCGCGCCAGATGACGGAGCGTGGGGCTCCTCACCGGGAGACCGCGCAGGCCCCCCTTTGCCGGTTCGGCCGGGGGCCCTGGGTGAGATTCTAAGCCCCTAGTCTGTGTGTGGAAGGTTCGCGAGAATGGAAACACACAAGACACGGGCGATGTATACAGGTTCGGGCCGCTGAGAAGCGTAATACCCTACTCCTGTGTTTTGGTGGATCTATGTATGAAGAAGCTACAAAAGAGCTGGAGAACCAGAGAGCTCTTACTCTCTCCCTCTCTGATCGTTCTGGATCCGAAAAAAAAAATCTCCTTCCAATCATCCCCCCTTCTAAGTGGGCAAGGTCCTCCTTTTATACCTCAAGGGGATACCACATGCGCCATCTCTCTCTTTTTGTGGGGACTTATCCTATCTTTTCATAAACAGACGGAGACTTGTATGGTTGCCGTCCGAATGACCTTCTGATGGGACGGCCCATACCTACCTCCACTTCCGCCGGAAGCAGGCGCGACGTGGGAACATGGCTGTCTGCTGACGACATGACCAGTGTCAGACCGGTCACAAATCGGTCATTCTTGTCCACCACGTGTCAGTTTATCAATCTGCATGTTCGCCCCCCTTCATACAATGTCTTGCTTGTAATGGTTAGGATGAAGCCTGGTATATATCTGACCAGGACCAACGTGCCATCTCCAGGAGCTAACACGCCGGCTCCGGCTAGGGACGAGTGCTTGGAGGCTCTCATCCTGACGGGATGGGGCGAGGCGTGCGTCAGACCGCCTGTCGCCACCTAACCCACGATCTGATCGGTCTGTGACTGGTCACAGACCGGATAAACGAGCGCGCTGCACTGCGTTACATGCGGCGTGACGTGCTCGTCCAAACCGCAATAAATGTGGTTAGGTGAGCCCCGCTATGCTCACCTACCCCATATACGCGGCGCAAAACCCACAAGGGGTCGGGGCGCCTCGGCCCTCGGGGCCGAGACGGGAGCGGTCCGACCCCTCGGGGAGACAAAGAGAAGGGCGGCCGTATCACCCTCGGGCCCGACCCCCCCGAGGGGGTTAGGTCACGTGGGTGATCGTGTCTGCCTCAAGTCTCTAAGTCATGATACTCCCGGTCCCATGTCACCAACAAAATGAATTTCCAAAACCGCGGACCGGGGAACGTACCGGGTGTACGGTTTTCCCGCTCTCGCACTTAAGGACCGATTCCTTAGAATTTCATCCAAACATAAGACAAGTACGACCACATGGGTGGAATGGGACACCCCTGGCTGAGTAACTAGCTTATCAGGGGAGCCTTGATGTCGAGAGACATGTGGATTCGCCGGGGTGGTGTCGGGGAGGACCCCTGGGCTTCCTGGCACAGTATGGTCTGGAACCTAACCTGTTGTTGGTCTGGGACCCCTCTCGTCGGCATATGGTAAACCTGTATCGGCTTTGGAAATGCCTTGTCATGAAAGCTTGGAGGTCTCCCGACGTGGCTGATCCCCACGGGCTGGGTGATCCGGGTTAGTAATGTCGTGTGGTTAAAGTGTACCCTCTCTGCAGAGGTTAACAAACTGTTCGAACAGCCGTGCCCACGGTCATGGGCGGATGTGAGGTGATTCCTAGCGTAGTTTTGTTTGACTACTGCTTGTGAAATTGCTGTTGTGGAAAGGGGTTCGATGTTTGAAAAATCTGCAGCTGATGGGATCAGCTAGGCCCGGGTGGCCGTTTGAAAGTTGTAGGCCCGGGTGGCCGTTTGAAAAGCTGTTGGCCGGGTGCCAACCCTGAATCAAGTCTAAAGACCGATACATTGCACATACTCCGACCGGACGAGACGCACTGTCTCAACCGTGTCGTTTGGGAAGCACTCACTTAGTTGTTTTCAGAAAAGAGTTCAACTAAAATCAATTGCAAAAACAACGGCCTTTCCTTGAAGCCTGCATTAAACACTTATTTCCCTTGGCTTGCTGAGTACTCCCTGATGAGGACATCCCAACCGTGCATGCTACTTCAAGTACCAAGCAACCATCATCAAACACAAAGGATACAATTCAAGGTCCACTTACAAGAAGTCGTGCCAAGAAACTACAAGTTCAGGTGAATTCATTCCTAACTGATTTTAATTTCAGTACTTCTGAGAATGTTATACTACCTAAGTGTTCTACTTTAGTTGTGCTTAGGAACATACAACATGAGGAGGATGAAAGTGGATCGGTGGATTCTATCACTGGAGTACAGAACGGACCAGTGAAGCAAAACGGACCAACTGCAGTGCAAAACGGACCAGTTCAAAGAACTGCTCATAACTCTCAATTTACAGAAGCTATGGAAGTAAATGAGGACTCTTTGGAAAGCTTATCAAGTCAGCTTTCCAATGCCACCAATACCAAGTACTTTGGACTTCACACCAATGAGAACCAAGTACGTTTGTGAAGACTGCTCTGAAGGCCAGGAGTCTGCTGAGTCAGCACGTTGGTACAAGTTCATGTTCAAAACTGTACCAATCTACAATGTTTCGTGGTGCATGTGATACATGGTTCAAAACATAGTGAAGTTAACTTTCCAATGCAACTGACGGTGCATCATTTGGACTTCCCAAGTTGGAGTTATTGCCAAATTACTGAACACCACTCCAGAAGACCAACAGCCTCGCGAACCCACTTCAGAAGCCATTTCGTGGAGGCCCTTTCACATTCTTAGTATTTTCATTTCCATCTCGAATTCACACCTATCTAGCAGGGCTGTTGCTAGTATAAATAACCCCTAAGACCATTGCAAACTGAGACTTTTGATAATCCAATTCGGAACCCTTTGTTCAGCTGTGTGCTAACAAACCCCAGAGAGAGATTCTCTACCCCTTTGCTCTTGTGTTTTCCTTCGCGGAGATTACAGAAGCGGCCGCGTCATCGGCACCCAATCCGTGCTCCTGATCCTCGAGTTCAGGTTGCGTAGGTTGGTTCTTTGAGAGTGTGGTTGGGCGAATCCTTGGTTCAGGCTGTCGTATAGAGACGGTGGTTGGCTCCTTGTGCGTGTCGTCAGGTTGCACTAGTTATCGCTGCTTGCAGCAAGTTATCGGTCGTTCTTCGGCTAGTTATCAAGATCGATCCTACGTCGTGAAGATCGGGACAACAACCTCATCATCTGGTATCAGAGCCTCGGTTGCAACGGTAGGATTTTTACCCTTAGCTACATATATATTTGTGTTCGTCCTATCCACTGAAAAAGCCATAAAAATATTCTGCTATAGCCCTTTGTTTCAATCCGTTATTCTTGTGAGTTTAGTTAATTTTCAGTCCATTAGAGTCTTGTTTTAGTTGCTGATCATATTCTCCTTTGCGTGTCCTTTGAGCTTCTTTCATACATCTGCAAATCCATATATATATAAAAAAAATTCAGAAACCGGTATCATCCTTCGCGTAAACTTTGATCCTATCAAGTTAGAACGCTGACGGTCGTGTCTTGTTTCTACAAAAAGAAAAGTGTATAAGTTTCATATCTGTTCTTGTTCTTAGTTATATATATAAAAAAAAAGTTTATCAAAAAAAAAGAGAAGAAAGAAAAGTTACAAAAAAAAGAGAGAAGAAAAAGAGTTGAGGAAAGTTTGAGAAAGAAAAGTTGAAAGATCAGTTTGTTTATGTGCACATGTTCTGAATTTTATATCAAGTTGCACAATCAGTTTGTTATCTATCTTTTGGTGCAAAATTTTGCTTAGGTCTGATTGCAACACTTGCATCCTAAGCATACTCCTTGTTTGCATCAAAACTGAATTATCTTTGCGTGTGTGTTTGATCTATTTACGTTACTCATATCTTGTGGTCAGCACTAAGCATTTTGGACTGTGATTTAACTTTACAATAGCGAGAATTCAGATTGCATTCCTTGTAAAATATATCCCCACCAAGCTCCACAAGTAATCCACCGTCATAGGAACGCTGATCTTGCATTCTCCCAACCATCATTCTCAAGTTACCACCTCGCATTGGTCCTCTGTAATCTGCAGGGAACTCACTTGAGCTTCGGTAGAGAGGTGAGGTTGTGTGATTGCACATATATTTTCCTATTCCACATATTCCACAAATATTTGTTGCAAGCCATCACTAACTTGACAGGAAGATGGGTTCTAATGTTGAGATTGAGGATTGTGTCACCATGGCACAATTCAATGAGATGAAGCAAAGCATGGAGGCACTAACAGCCAATGTTCAAGCACTTATGAATCGATTGCCAGAGCCTCCTCCTGAAGATGCAAATGCAAGTCACCATGGAGAAGAAGATGAAGAATCCGAAGGAGAAGCTGCTGCTCGCCTTGCAAGAGAACAACGAAGAAGACGGAGAGATCGTGTTGTTGCAAATGCAAGAAGACCTCCACATCCTGGTCGTGGAAATGGTGGTAGAGGTGCTGATCGTGGAAGAGAACATGGACTAGAAGAAAGTGGGACTGACGAAGAGGTTGAACAGCCTCATCGTGATGATCGTCGTCACCGAGGAAATCGTGGGCGAAATCAGCCCAATGAAGAGAGATTTGGCAAATTAAAATTCATCATGCCCAAGTTTGAAGGAGGATCTGATCCTGAAGTCTATCTTACATGGGAGTTGAAGGTGGATAAAATCTTTCGTTTGCATAATTATTCTGAGCGGAAGAAAGTTGCCATGGCTGCTCTAGAGTTTGATGGCTATGCTCTAATCTGGTGGGAGCAAATGCTAAATGAAAGAGAAGAAGCTGGCCAAGGCGATGTGCGTTCATGGGCTGAAATGAAGAGAGAAATGAGGGCAAGATTTGTCCCTAAACATTATCGCCGTGATCTTTTTGACAAGCTGCAGAATTTGAAGCAAGGAAGCCTCAGTGTTGATGAATATTATAAAGAGATGGAGAAGGCAATGATTAGAGCCAATGTTTATGAAGATGAAGAGCAATCAATTGCACGTTTTATGTCAGGACTGCACCGCAACATTCAGCGTATTGTTGAATTTCAGCAGTACCGCAATCTTATTGAATTGGTGCATCAAGCTAGCAAAGCTGAACGTCAATTGCAGCAAGACATGAAGTCCAATAGAGGAGTGTCTTTCAGCACAAAGAATGCAGCAAGTGGAAGCAAATTCACATCAAGAGGTAGTGGAAATAGAGGTGCATTTTCTAGCTCAAGTGGTGGTGCACGATCTAGCAATTATGGTACTTCCAGTGGGAAAGATTTGGCTGCTCCAAATGAGAGGAAAAATGCAGCAAACACATCATCTACTTCAGTGGGTTCTTCCACCAAGAGTAGTGGAATTCAATGCTTCAAATGTGGTGGTCGTGGTCATGTTGCTAGAGAGTGTCCAAACAATAGAACCATCGTTGTGAATGATCAAGGAGAGTATGAATCTACTAGTGAGGAAGAACAAGAAGATAGTGAAGAGGAGAATAATCTTGAGAAGGATATCTGTGAATTTGAATCTGGTGCTGCTCTTGTTGTAACTCAAATTTTGAGTGTACAAATGAGTGATGCTGAAAATGGACAGCGGCACAATCTTTTTCAAACTAGAGCTAAAGTGCAAGATAAAGTTGTCAAGGTGATCATTGATGGTGGAAGTTGCCACAATCTTGCTAGCAAAGAAATGGTTGAAAAGCTTGGTTTGAAGCTGCTAAAACATCCTCATCCATATCATGTGCAATGGCTTAATAATTCAGGTTCTATTAAGATTGCACAAAGAGTAAAAGTTCCTTTCAAGATTGGTGAATATATTGACACCATGGAGTGTGATGTGGCACCTATGACAGTGTGTCACATGCTGTTGGGAAGACCATGGCAATATGATCGGTCATCTCTACATTGTGGTAGAACCAATCAATACACCATCAAGTGGAAGGGCAAGGAGTTGATTCTTAAACCCATGACACCGCAGCAAATTCTAGCTGAGCACTTGCAAAAGAGCTCTGAAGTGAGGAATGAGAGTGCAAAAGAAGGACAGAAAAATAATTTGAGTGCCCTCCACAAATCGGTGAGTGAGAGCCACAAGCCAAACATGAGAGACAACAAGAAAAGAGAGTGAGAGAACTTAGTGATGATAGCCACCAAATCTGAAATGAGAGATGTGAGGAGAAACCCAGAACAAGTATTATTCATACTTGTGTGCAAGGACACATTACTTTCAGCTAACGACTTAACCTCTGTTCCTAGTGTTGTTGCACGTGTTTTACAGGAATATGAAGATGTCTTTCCAGAGGAAACACCTGTTGGACTTCCTCCATTGCGTGGCATTGAACATCAAATTGATCTCATCCCTGGAGCTACACTTCCAAACCGTCCAGCATACCGCACCAACCCTGAAGAAACTAAGGAAATTCAAAGGCAAGTACAAGCACTTTTAGATAAAGGTTATGTTCGAGAAAGTTTAAGTCCTTGTGCTGTCCCTGTGATTTTGGTGCCAAAGAAAGATGGTTCATGGAGGATGTGTGTAGATTGTAGAGCCATAAATAACATCACAGTTCGCTATCGTCATCCTATTCCTAGGCTAGATGATATGCTAGATGAATTGAGTGGGTCTATGATATTTTCGAAAATTGATTTGAGAAGTGGTTACCATCAAATTAGAATGAAAATTGGAGACGAATGGAAAACTGCTTTTAAAACAAAGTTTGGGTTGTATGAATGGTTAGTTATGCCTTTTGGTTTGACTAATGCACCTAGTACATTCATGAGATTAATGAACCATGTCTTAAGAGCATTTATTGGAAAATTTGTTGTTGTGTACTTTGATGATATCCTAATTTACAGCAAGACATTGGAGGAACATGTTGCTCATATTCAGCAAGTTTTGGATGTACTCAGGAAAGAACAATTATATGCTAACCTTGAGAAGTGCACATTTTGTACAGATCAGGTTGTGTTTCTTGGTTTTGTTGTTTCAGGTTTAGGAATTCAGGTTGATGAATCAAAGGTGAAAGCAATAAAGGATTGGCCAACTCCTGAAAATGTAAGCCAGGTGAGAAGTTTTCATGGACTTGCTGGTTTTTACAGGAGATTTGTCAGAGGTTTCAGCACCATAGCTGCACCATTGAACGAGTTGACAAAGAAAGGTGTTGCCTTCCAATGGGGAGAACCGCAAGAGAAAGCTTTCCAAGAATTGAAGAAAAGATTGTCCGAAGGCCCCTTGCTTGTGTTGCCAGATTTCACTAAAACCTTCGAGGTTGAATGTGATGCAAGTGGGATTGGTATTGGAGGCGTTCTCATGCAAAATGGACAGCCCGTTGCATATTTCAGTGAGAAGTTGGGAGGAGCACAACTGAACTACTCGGTGTATGACAAAGAGTTGTATGCTTTGGTAAGAGCACTTGAAACTTGGCAACATTATTTGTGGCCAAAAGAATTTGTTATTCATTCAGATCATGAGGCTTTGAAGTATTTAAAGGGCCAAGCAAAACTGAACCGTAGACATGCCAAATGGGTTGAATTCATTGAAACTTTTCCATATGTTGTAAAATACAAGAAAGGTAAGGAAAACATTGTTGCTGATGCTTTATCTCGTAAAAATGTTTTGCTAAATCAACTTGAAGTAAAAGTGCCTGGAATTGAAAGCATAAAAGAATTATACCCTGCTGATCTTGATTTTTCAGAACCATATGCAAAATGTACAGCTGGAAAAGGATGGGAAAAATATCATATACATGATGGATTTTTGTTTAGAGCTAACAAATTGTGTGTTCCACATTGCTCTGTTAGACTCTTGTTATTACAGGAAACACATGCAGGTGGTCTGATGGGTCACTTTGGATGGAGAAAGACTTATGACATGCTAGCTGATCACTTCTATTGGCCTAAGATGAGAAGAGATGTTCAACGACTTGTGCAAAGATGTGTCACCTGTCACAAAGCTAAGTCAAAACTGAACCCTCATGGATTATATACTCCCTTACCTGTTCCTAGTGCTCCTTGGGAAGATATTAGCATGGATTTTGTTTTGGGATTACCTAGGACAAAGAGGGGGAGGGATTCGATTTTTGTTGTTGTTGATCGATTCTCTAAAATGGCACATTTTATACCTTGTCATAAAAGCGATGATGCTTCCCACATAGCTTCTCTATTTTTCAGTGAAATTGTGAGGTTGCATGGCATGCCCAAGACGATTGTTTCAGATCGTGACACCAAGTTTTTGAGCTATTTTTGGAAGACCTTATGGGCAAAGCTTGGAACAAGGCTGCTGTTTTCCACCACTTGCCACCCTCAAACGGATGGGCAAACTGAAGTTGTGAATAGAACACTCTCTATGCTGCTGCGAGCCTTGATAAAGAAGAACCTGAAGGAATGGGAAGAGTGCTTGCCACACGTGGAATTCGCTTACAACAGGGCAGTACACTCTACAACTAACATGTGTCCATTTGAAGTTGTATATGGTTTCAAACCACTTGCTCCCATCGATTTGTTGCCTCTACCATTGCAGGAAAGGAGTGACATGGAAGCGTCCAAGCATGCAACTTACGTTAAGAAGATTCATGAGAAGACCAAAGAAGCAATTGAGAAGAGGTCCAAGTACTATGCTGCATGGGCAAACAAGGATCGCAAGAAGGTGACATTTGAGCCTGGAGATTTGGTTTGGGTACATCTTCGCAAAGACCGCTTCCCACAGAAGCGCAAATCCAAGTTGATGCCACGAGGAGATGGACCATTCAGAGTGCTGTCCAAGATCAATGACAATGCTTACAAGATTGAGCTACCTGAAGATTATGGTGTTAGTCCAACCTTCAATGTTGCTGACTTAACACCATTCTTTGGACTAGAAGATTCAGAGTCGTCGAGGTCGACTCCTTTTCAAGAGGGGGAGGATGATGAGGACATCCCAACCGTGCATGCTACTTCAAGTACCAAGCAACCATCATCAAACACAAAGGATACAATTCAAGGTCCACTTACAAGAAGTCGTGCCAAGAAACTACAAGTTCAGGTGAATTCATTCCTAACTGATTTTAATTTCAGTACTTCTGAGAATGTTATACTACCTAAGTGTTCTACTTTAGTTGTGCTTAGGAACATACAACATGAGGAGGATGAAAGTGGATCGGTGGATTCTATCACTGGAGTACAGAACGGACCAGTGAAGCAAAACGGACCAACTGCAGTGCAAAACGGACCAGTTCAAAGAACTACTCATAACTCTCAATTTACAGAAGCTATGGAAGTAAATGAGGACTCTTTGGAAAGCTTATCAAGTCAGCTTTCCAATGCCACCAATACCAAGTACTTTGGACTTCACACCAATGAGAACCAAGTACGTTTGTGAAGACTGCTCTGAAGGCCAGGAGTCTGCTGAGTCAGCACGTTGGTACAAGTTCATGTTCAAAACTGTACCAATCTACAATGTTTCGTGGTGCATGTGATACATGGTTCAAAACATAGTGAAGTTAACTTTCCAATGCAACTGACGGTGCATCATTTGGACTTCCCAAGTTGGAGTTATTGCCAAATTACTGAACACCACTCCAGAAGACCAACAGCCTCGCGAACCCACTTCAGAAGCCATTTCGTGGAGGCCCTTTCACATTCTTAGTATTTTCATTTCCATCTCGAATTCACACCTATCTAGCAGGGCTGTTGCTAGTATAAATAACCCCTAAGACCATTGCAAACTGAGACTTTTGATAATCCAATTCGGAACCCTTTGTTCAGCTGTGTGCTAACAAACCCCAGAGAGAGATTCTCTACCCCTTTGCTCTTGTGTTTTCCTTCGCGGAGATTACAGAAGCGGCCGCGTCATCGGCACCCAATCCGTGCTCCTGATCCTCGAGTTCAGGTTGCGTAGGTTGGTTCTTTGAGAGTGTGGTTGGGCGAATCCTTGGTTCAGGCTGCCGTATAGAGACGGTGGTTGGCTCCTTGTGCGTGTCGTCAGGTTGCACTAGTTATCGCTGCTTGCAGCAAGTTATCGGTCGTTCTTCGGCTAGTTATCAAGATCGATCCTACGTCGTGAAGATCGGGACAACAACCTCATCACTCCCCGTACTCACCCTTGCTCTATATAAATAATCCCCCCTAGTCGCTGAAGAAGACGAAGCGGATCCTGCTGATGAGGAGTACTTCCAGGAGCAAGCCGGCTACGATGAGTTTTAGGGTTTCGGCCTAGTTCCCAAGTCGCGCCTGTGTTGTTTGGTCCAAGTCCCGGCTTCCGTTTCCCTTTTGTAATGCAGTTGTGAACTCGGGATCTGTCCGCAGCCCAACATGACTGTACATCTACTCTATAATAAAGAGACCTCTGTTGCTGTGATAATCTGTCTTCCTGTGATACCAGCACTGTGTCCTGGGACTGGTATCGATTAACAGGTTAAATTGGAGCGTCACGGGCTAGTTCCGGTCGGTACTAGTTCGGGGCGTGACAGAACGGCTGCCTGCAAAAATCATTTTAGCAGGCGGGGCTTTTGTCCGCCTGCAAAAATTGGGGATTTTTACCGTCGTTTGGGTACATGCGGAAGGTTTTGTCGCCTGCGAAAATATGTTTTGGCAGCCGGGAAAAAATGTTTTTCCAGTAGTGGTTATACCGGGGGTCATCGAATTCTAAAATTAATTTAGAAGTTTCAAAAGATATATTTTTTTTCAAAATTTGTGTAGTTTTTGCTAAATTTGAATAACTTTCTCTAAATTGGAATAGAAATTTCCCCATAATTTTTAATCACGCGTCCATCCTGTGGTGAGATTTACTAGGATGGAAGAAGAGAATAGGAGGCTACGCGGGCACATGTTAGAGCATGAAAAGAAAGAAAAAAGGAGTATGAAAAGAAAAAAAAAACAGAGAGAAGAGCCAACTTTCGAAATCTAGGGATCAATTCAAATAGTCGATCTGATGGTTTAAGGAAAGCTACATACGACGGTATACGATATATATGTCTGGATGAGCTTTTCAGTTTTTCATTTGGCTTCTGAAAGATACTAAAATCTTAGGGAACCAGATTATCCAGATTCTCAAAAGTTGGTTAATTAACCATCCGTAGCTTTTTAAAATCTTAAACTCATCAAAACACAACCATATATTCGTCAAAACACAACCATATATTCGACAAGCTTAACGAAGCC